GGGGAGGGATGAAAAGGGGTTCAAGGGCGCGAACGATCTGTGGGAAGCAAAGGAGCCGACGTCGGGAAATTAGAGAATTCGCGGGTACAGGAAATATGGAAAGCAGGGACGACTGACAGAGCATAGGGATAGAGGATGATAAAGAAAAAGAGAATTGAAGAGGGTGAGAGAAAGAGAGAAGGAGACAAAGAGAGAGAGAGAGAGAGAGAGAGAGAGAGAGAGAGAGAGGGAGAGGGAGAGAGAGAGAGGATTAAATGGCAAAATATCACTCAGAGCAAAGGACTCGGTGCTTGCAAGCCCCGGCATTTCGGAGAGAATGATGGGAAGGACGTGACCAAAATATTCTCATACAAGATGCCAGAAGTTCGAGATACTCTTGGGGAAGCTGAGTGAAGGAGCAGCAGTCTGCCGACCACGAAAAATGCCAACTAAATAAAATTCCACTAAGGAGTCCTTCTATACCTTCTACGAACTACCGACTGCCTTCCTGCCCGGTGACTATAACAGCCAGGAGGACAGAACTGGATTTTCTCTCTCTCTCTCTTTCTCTCTCTCTCTCTCTTTCTCACTCTCCTCCCCTCCCATCCCTACTCACTCGCTCTCTCTCTCTCGCTCTCTGTACATTACACGATCTCTGGTGAATCTTTTAAAGTAGCGAGTGCACCTATCTCGCGGATAGTACGATACGGCACTGCTCGTAACTACAACTTGTACTTTCGTAATACTTTTCTTTTTTTTTCTCCACGAGAATTCGCCGTAAAATTGGCACGGGGTGTCGCTTTCCTTCGAGTTTACACGATTTCTGACCCAGCAGCTTTGGGAATATTGGAAAGTATCGTGATTTACGAAATTGAGATACTCGCAAAGCGCTTATCCCACGCATTTTCAGCCTGCGTCGAATAGTCGATGTTATACTTCATCCCTCTTACATATGATAGAGCCGAAGCATTGGTATGCATTATGGAGGACGAGATTGTCAGGATTAAGACACCGGTGCACGTGTAGCGTGTATTTGCCTGGCAGTTCGAGGAGGGAATTTGAAGGAAACGAAAACCACTTGTAACGCGTGTGGGTGGTGTGGATGGTGTGGGGCTGTTTTGGAAAAATCGAAAAATCATGCCGGTCATGTGAATCGTGAAGAAGGAGAGAGAACTCGGAATTCCGTTAGGACGATATCACAGGAATAGCAGAAATAAGCGAGTCTTCGCGGCCGCAACAGTCTGTAAGCATTTCTAAGAACTGCCGGGGTGAAAAGGTAAAGATGCAGAGCGAGGAGAGACGAGGTAGACAAAGGTATTTCATTTTAGGAGCGACTCGACCTTTTTTATCTCTTCTTTTTTTTCTCCTTAGTTTCGCGGTTTTCAGCGAAATCTCATTTCCCTCGCGGCCGCGTTTAACGCATTTTCATCCTTAACGAGCCCAGTAAAGAATAACATAATGCGCGAAATTAACAATTAAGACCTAAGCTGCCGGTAATTAACTGGCGACCCAAGAAAAGCTAAGCTAAGAAAACGCCTGCGGGAAAATACATTGCAGTTTACAGGGCAGAGGGTAAGTGTCGGAGCGAGAGAGAGAGAGAGAGAGAGAGAGAGTTCTAAGGTTTTCGGATGCAGTGAAGAGTGGTTGTAATGTCGAGGGGAAGAAAAAAAAGGTGTCAAAAGAAAGGAAAATCCGAGCGCACCGTGTACTCCGAGATAGCCTCACACCCGACCCACCACAACGCTCTTTGGGTCGGAATAAAATTTAAATAAATTGAATAGACTGACGAACGCGTAAGATAGAACAAATTTGTACAGCATTACTATTATGTTTAGAGCTGCCAATAAATACGCATATACGCGCGAGGCGCTCGGTTTCTCCTCCTTATCTGCAACTGGGAAGCAAAGTGCTGTTTCTGCAAGGAATGCAGAGTATGTGTACTGTGCAAGGACAGTGGAGGGGCGTGTGTGCTCAGGGGAGTCACGGGAGCCACAGGCGGCAGCAGATCGCTGACTAGGAACTTAACGAGGTATTGTTTCTGCAATCAAAGCAAGACGCTTTACGAGCGGCCACGCTTACGAACCTCCTTCTGTTTTAATTAAGATAAAGGCAATAATTCGATCGGTGGTTATTAGCTGCCACGTATAGCCGCGCTCGTCGGTGGGGGCCAGTGGGACCTGGATGCACCAGGGCATACATTAGACAATCTCTACGGTATATGCAGAACGT